CACTGTGTCTTTTTACATGTTAAGTCATTTTACTTAATTACTTCAAAAATCATTACATGTTGAATAATAGTAAGGAATATGTTTGCACATAACATATTTCATAATGCATTATTGAACATTTAGAATGTTTACAGTTTGCTGTGATTAAAAATTATGTGATTATTAAGTCCTTTTAGCCAGTCATAATTATTTCTTCATGATATGGGAACACTCACACCTGGAACTTCTGATAGACCTTGGTCAAATTTTTGAGGTGTCTATTTTGAAATTTTTTCCAATAAGAAGCCTCAAAGAACAGAGCCTTAAATCTTCAAATCTCATGGGCATAGAATGATGTGTAATCAATCAATACTGGTGGGAATTCTGGCCTCAGGCCAGGATTGAGGAGGGAGTTTCTAACCAAATCAGCCATAATTTTCATATATGAAGTTAAAATTTGGTTTTTGCCTTCTCATCCGCCTGCTCCAACTCACTGTTTTACTTCAATTGTTATTGTTGATTCAGACATACCCTATGAGGCTTCATTTTTCTTTTTTTGCAGTTTTTGGCCAGGGCTAGGTTGAACCCACCACCTCCAGCATGTGGGCCCTACTCCTTTGAGCCACAGGTGCCTCCCAAGGCCTCAATTTTTATTCTTTTTTTAAAAAATTGTTTGGAATTCATTGAGAGTATAAAGACTTAGGTTACACTGATCATGGTTGTTAGGTAAACTCTCTCTTGTAATTGTATCCTGCCCCTAAGAAGTGTGCCATACACCATGACTCCAAATCTCCTCTCTCTGCCCCTCTCCCCCTACCTCATTCCCCTACCCCACCCCAGCTCATCTACTGCCTTCATATCAGAATTGAGTACATTGGATTCTTGCTTCTCCATTCTTGTGATGCTTTACTAAGAAGAATGTGTTCCACCTCCATCCAAGTTAATACAAAAGATGTAAATCATTTTTAATGGCTGAATAGTATTCCATGGTATACATGACCCACAGCTTGTTAATCCATTCCTGGGTTGGTGGGCATTTAGGTTGTTTCCCCATTTGTCGTGATTGTACATTGTGCTGCAATGAACGGTCTAGTGCAAGTGTCCTTATGGTAAAAGGATATTTTTTGTTCTGGGTAGATGCCCAGTAATGGGAATGCAGGATCAAATGGGAGGTCTAGTTTGCTCTTTGAAATTTTATATAGTTTCTATGTCTAGTAGGAAATGTCTGACTAGGCATGATGCATAAAATTAGCCAATGAAGTGTGAAGACGTCCAGTTCACAACGCTCACTCCAGCACTGCATGGATTTAGAATTGTGGATACACTCCAGGGTCAATTACTGGACATTTGTTAATGTTGTTTATTCATACCAAGAAGGCTCCACTTTCATCTTTGTATAACCCCACAATATGAAAAAAATAACCAGAACACTGAAAAAATATTTGCTAAAAAAGTTAACTGATGAATTCAAACAATATTAGGTTCCTTTTGTCAATCTACATCACTGATGTAAAAACAGGGCATGAAGAGTTAGTAGCTGAATCCAGATTCATGCCTATTTTTTGAAGCTCTCTCAATGTATTTCTGGATGACTTCAATGATTTGAGCAGCTGGCATTTGTTCTTCCATTTGGAAAATAGAATAACACTAATGTTTTTACTTCATAGTGGTAGTATCAAGAGGCTGATGTTTTTACAATAATTAAGCAAAAATGGAGCAAATACCTGTGACCATTTACTACTAAAGCTATTTGTGCCCTGGCTTAGTTATACTCATACCTTTTTTTCTCTGTGTCTATAGCTCCATTACGTGATCAATTGGTAATAATGATTTGGTCTCCATTCTGTTTGGTCCACATGAATAGACAGCTTTGGGAGAGATTAATGCCAACATGGAAAGAGCAAAATCAACCAGATTTCATGATGAAATTATCATGTAACTTAATTAGTTGCTAAGGCAGGTCTTGAATTGCGTGTGAATTTTCATCATTGCTAGAAAACCAGTAATATAGAATTAACTAGTACTTTAAAATGTAAGATGCCCTACGTAGTTGCAATGTTGACAATGTAGTGATAAAACTGCCCTGCATGCTTTCATCAATTCCAGTTTGATTTGATTAAGTTAGAACTCAGAATGACTCACTTCTCTACGTTTATTAATGTTGTTTTGTCAGTTAACTTGCAAGAAGATTCAGGACATTCCATAATGCACCTTGGTTCACAATGTTAAATGCAGTGTTCTTCCTCTTGAGATGAATGTGCTAGAAACCACTGTATTGTTGTTCTGAGTGAATGGAAATCCCATTTCATGTTTTCTCTGCTCATTTATTATGGAGATAATTCTGACCTGCAAATAGTAACAAGAAGTAAAAGAACACAGTTTGATCATTTTCTGGAAATTACACTAATCCAAATCTGTAAACAAAACTGGATTTTTAAATTACATATAAAATGGCACAAACTCTCACGACCTTCTTATCTCACTGAAGCATTTATGAAAAATTAGCAATTTAAAAGGGCTTGAGAGAATTAGCCTCTACAAAGAGTTTGGAGATGAGTTATCAAGCTATGCCTTACACATTTCACTTCTTGATTGTAGATAAAGAAAACATTTGTGAATAGAAAACTTGTTCACATTTCCACAAGATTATCTGCTTAGAAATGTTTAACCCCTTGAAAATTATAACCCTTCCAATACCAATTAGCATGTTCAAAATCAGATATTTTAAATAAAATCCTGCAAACTTCTAAGCAGGATTTACCCCTGGTTGTGAAATTCCATCCCTGGACAAAGTAGTTCTCAAGTGCCACGTTTAATGGTCTGTTAGTTATGAATATTGCAATTAAGTAAACATACCCAGTGGCATGAGATTCCTCTTTCCACCAATTTTGAATATTTGCCAAGTCATGGATGTTATATTAAGCAATTTCTGCTGTTCGATTCCATACAGAAGTGTGACATAACTCTGGCTAAATAGTTTTTCCATGGTCTACCAAAGTGAGCCTTCTTTCTATTTGTGGAAGCCATGTCATTAGCCTAAGTTATGCAGTTACACTCTTAGTGGTTAATTAATCACTTGTGTCATGTAAAGAAGGTGCTTAGATAAATTATGATTGATTCCAAAGAAAACACACAAGGATAGACAAACAGGAGGACAGAATGGGGATTAAAAATATCTTCAGGGAAGCTGTTCAAGAATGTTCCACAAGGTTGAAGGAGGAGGGACACCAGCAGGAGTGTCTATGAGAATCTCCTGGCCTTCCTGACTGCAGGCCCATGTATGTACTCCATTAATATTACTCAGCGAGATGATTAAACACCTGCAGTATAAATATGCTTCACTGCATGTTACGGGATGTGTTTTGCATTATGACTCAGCTTTAGCTACAAACACAGCAAAGTTGTAGCTATGGAATGTGTAGCTCATCTGATTGCAAAAGTACTTTCAGCCCATGTACCTCAGCACAACTGGCTCTGTGCCATCTTGTACTGAGTTGCAAAAAAACAAAATTTTCTTTCTCTCTCTCTTTAAGTTACTCTAGCATGGCAAGCAAGACTATGAAAAGAGAGGGTCACAGGGCAGTGCCTGTGGCTCAGTGAGTAGGGCAATAGTCCCACATACTGAGAGTGGTGGGTTCAAACTCGGCCCCAGCCAAACTGCAACAAAACAATAGCCAGGTGTTGTGGTGGGCGCCTGTAGTCCCAGCTATGCAGGAGGGTGAGGCAAGAGAATCGCCTAAGCACAAGAGCTAGCTGGAGGTTGCTGTGAGCTGTGATGCCACAGCACTCTACTGAGGGCGACATAGTGAAACTCTATCTCTACAAAAAAAAAGAGAGAAAGAGAGAAGAGAGATAGGGTCACAATTCAAGTACTTTTGTGTGTAGGATTCTATGTCTTCATGTCTACTCAAATCAATGGCAGGGAAACAACGCTAAATCTATAGACCTGTTATTGAAGATCACACATCACATCACAACAGGGAAATTATCCATAATTTTTATATATGTATTTAATCTCCTTATAAAGCATGTATTTTATACTCAACTGCATAATATCTGGGCCCTTGCTGGATTTTAAATAATAATTAATATGTATCTGCTTTTCTAAAACTGAAACATTGTTCATCAAAAATAGACAAAACAGGGTTTCTCTCTGAGTTCAGGCCCGTATTCTCGTGGAGCGGACTATCGCTGTGAGCAGTCTGGGTGGAGCCTGGGGTTCCATGCGCCTTCCTCAGTGAGCTCACTCCTACTTTGCTCACTTATTGATCCTCCCGGAAATTTTTTTCAAATTTTCATTCATGAGTTAAATTCCCAATTATACATCTGCTTCTTATGTAAAATATTTTCTTTCAGGCAAATTGGGCAATTATCAATATCACATCAGAAGTAGACAATCAATCTCTCCCACTACAAATAGATTACACGATACCTCAGATTTTTCCATCTATTTTAAATCCTTTCTAAAATTAAAGTTACATGCACATACACACGTCTTTTCACACTATTTACGTTCTGGCATTGATTAGCACTGCTTTACTATTCATTAATGGTACCAAATACATTTTAATGTTTACAATATGGCAGAAATTTTGTTAGGATACAAAGGCAGATAATGGCTCATTACCGACTCCAAATAGCTTTATTATAACCGTGCAATTTCTTTGCTGTTACTTCCCAATATGGAGGACTTCTTTGCTCCAGCCTTGCCTATGTGCAAAATTTAATATAATTTTTAACATTATGGTAATTTGCTTTTGTATGTAATGCATATATTTGCATATTATAAAATCTTGAAAGAACTTTTCCCCTCCACCTCAGACATCAATAATTAATGGGAATATTGTATTTTATTTTAGATGACTCATAAGGATAAACCATAACTTTTTCTCCCAAAGACTGAGTTTAAATGCAACTTCGTAGCCTGAATTTTATAATATAAAAATTTGATCTTCTGAGGAAAACATCTAAAATAACGGCTGCAGTAATACACATGTATTCTTATTCCTCTTTTCCTTCAGGAATACACAATCGATATCATTTTTGCCCAAACCTGGTTTGACAGTCGTTTAAAATTCAATAGCACCATGAAAGTGCTTATGCTTAACAGCAATATGGTGGGGAAAATCTGGATTCCCGACACTTTCTTCAGAAACTCAAGAAAATCCGATGCTCACTGGATAACAACTCCTAACCGTCTGCTTCGGATCTGGAATGACGGACGGGTTCTGTACACCCTCAGGTGATACTGTTTTGAAAATTCATACTTGCTCTAATTTATTTTCCATGCTAATATTTCATCTGCTCCTAAATTTTCCTTTTTCAGAGTAGCAAGGTAAAGAATATGTAGTTTCTATTATGTGGTAACATCTAAAATTGTGAAATATTTGGTGATATTTTTTAAGCTCAGAGTTATTATTATGTAAGAAGGACTTAAAACAAACAAGAAAAACTCCTTGGTTTTCCTCCTTTGAAGCAGAAGCAGTTATAGCAAGAACATTATGTTTCTTTAACCAATTCCTCAAATAATTGACTGAGACTTCCTCTAGGAGCAAATCTTGCTATAAAATCATAATACTCTTATTTTCAATGGTGTGGCAAAATATCCCTAAGGGAACATTAGATGAGGGTTGATGTTCAACCTCAAGGTTCAAGTTTATTTAATTTATGGCCTTGAACATAACTGCTTATTAAGGATATCCTAAATGAAAAGATGTTCATAATAAATTAAAATAAATAAATCCCCACACCAGCCACGTGTCCTCTGCTATTCTGTTGTGTGTGGGCATGTTTGTGAGCCTGTATGTATTTGGGGAGATACCAAAGTATGAATTTCAAATGCAAAGGCAGGCATTACACTGAATCGCGTACACGGGAGACTTAGTTGGCTGAGAGGACAATGTGAGGATTTCCTTAATCAGGAATGGGATATTATCATTTAATATTTTTTATTTTAATTTTTTGTTAAATTGTAACACTGTACACTAACGCATTTATGGAGTACAATGTGCTAATCTGATAAACAGTGTGGAAAGCTTATGTCAAACTTGTTAACATAACCAACACCTCATTTATATCATTTAATATTTTGATAATTTAGAATCATTACAGTGTTCTAATATTCTCAGTTCTTTATTGTAGGCCCTGATCATGAAAATTAGACGAGAAACCATTGATGCTTAAACTTATTTCTCCTTCATACTTATTTTTCCCTCTCAATAGACTGACAATTAATGCGGAATGTTACCTGCAACTCCACAATTTCCCTATGGATGAACACTCCTGCCCATTGGAATTTTCAAGCTGTAAGTGATAAAAAACGTTTGATAGAATTTTAGCCTCAGACCCTTTTTATAAAAAAAATATAAAATAAAATGAGATAAAATGTAATTTCCAAGGTTGTGGATTACACTAAACTCTCTGAGATAAAATAATCACAAATAATGTATTGGTGTTTTGCTCTTAAACTAAGAAATGGCAATAAATGTGTAGTGAATGTACATATTTTATTAAATCATTATTTACAAGTTTTACTTTTATTCTAGTGCCCTTTTCTTATTTTAGATTGAATAAAGGAATACTGAAGATAAGTTTATATTCAAGTGTTTTTACACATCCATAAATAAAAGGTTGATTCAAATTACATTTACTTTTTCACTTTCCTGGAAACAGGATAAGTATATACGTATAAATAAACAGGATAAGTGTATATATATATATTTATGTATATAAATATATACATTTATGCATATATGGGGTGCAATGTACTAATCTGATATACAATGTGAAAAGCTTATATGAAACTTGTTGATATATATATGTGTGTGTATATGTATATATATATATATATATATTTTTTTTTTTTTTTTTTTTCTGAGACAATGTCTCACTGTGTCACCCTGGATAGAGCACCATGGCATCTTAGCTGACAGCAATCTCAAACTTTTGGGCTTCAGCGATCCATTCTTTCACCTCAGCCTCCTGAGTAGCCGGGACTATAGGCACCCACCAAGACACCAACTAGGTTTTCTATTTTTAGTAGAGACAGGGTCTCACTTTTGCTCAGGCTGGTCTCAAACTCCTGAGTGCAAGCAATATACCTACCTGCCTCAGTCTCCTGGAGTGCTAGGATTATGGGTGTGCACTACTGTGCCCGGTCTGAAACGAGATATAACTTTATCATTCTGGATTTTTAAATAGATTTTCAAATTTATCTGAGTTAAACATATTTACCATATGAATGGCAAATAGTTAAGAAGACTTTTTGAGTCAGAAGGAAATACGTTCATTTTAATTAAAAAATACGAGTCAGTAAAGTGGTGAGAGCTAAATAATTTTAATATAAAACCTAGTATTTTCTTCTAAGGAAAAGATTATAATATTTCTATAGTAATGTTAATTTTACTTCGTATTGACAAATATAGCCTCGCATACTTTTTTTTATAAAAATATGTTTCTTGATAACATACAAGTATGTCTTAAAAATATATAAAACATCTACTTAAAATGTTTTTGGTTATATCCAAAAATTGTCTAGTGATTTTCTTTGAAATTTTATTTTTCCATAGATCATATTCTAGAATCTATTGGCAACAGAGGGTAATATAATCTTTCATTATGATTACCCCACTTCACTTACTAAATTTTTAGATCTCTTTTCTTGCCCTTTATTAGTGATTTTCTTGACTTTTCTCAATGTTTTTTGTCTCATTAGAACATCCTTTTAACAATGATGATCTCCTATCTTACTGCTTTGATTAACTTCGCAATAAATAAAATAGCTAAATTGCAGCAAAGACTTGGTTAATAGGAATACTCCAGGAGCAGTTGATATGCCAATAAATCATAGGGCAGTTATAGAACTTTCTTCTAGGTTCTATTTCTAAGTTCTGATGTGAGATCGCTTTTGTTTTGAGTATCACTATTGGGAATTAATAATCTGTCTTCATGAAGGTAATTGGATGTCCAATACAAAAATACAATAATCATAGGTAATTTTTTCCAGGCACTCTACACAGGTCCAGAATTAACTCTTCTGCATCTAATATTTCAAAAAAAAATGTGTGAAAGATTTTGTTACAGTCCCAATTTTAAAAGTCAATGTGTTGAGACTCAGATTGGCTAAGCATCTAACTGCATTGATCTGTGCCCATATGAATAGATACTATAGGTACACTGTTGCCTCTGTAATAAACAAATAGGAAGTATCAAGAGCAAGGAGGTTAGAGTCCTAGAAAGCAAGAGAAAGAAGGTGGAGAAATGGAAAGGAAAAAGCATCTTAAACAGGTCGGCAGAGGTGACAGCTGCTTCATTGCATGACTAATAGGGGATCCCGGTGCAAAATGATATGGTATTTTGCATATTTTAAAAAGTGATTGATGGATTCTGTATCTTTATTTTATTTATTTATTTTTTTTGAGACAGAGTCTCACTCTGTTGTCCCAGTCTAGAGGGGTGTGGCCTCAGCCTAGCTCACAGCAACCTCAAACTCCTAGGCTCAAGGGATCTTCCTGCCAAGGCCTCCCAAGTAGACTGGACACAGCAGTCCCAGCTGTTATAACCCATCACAACTCCCAGCTATTTTTTTCTGTTTTTAGTAGAGATGGGATCTCATTCTTGCTCATGCTAGTCTCAAATTCTTGAGCTCAAGAAATCCTCCCAACTTAGCCTCCCAAGAATTCTAGGATTACAGGCGTGACCCACTGCACCCGGCCAGATTCTGTATCTCTAACATAGTAGGCCAGTCTTTCTGTTGCAAATGCTTAAAATTTTTAAATTATTAAAATCTTCCCAAAAACATGTGATACAGGCTCGGTGCCTGTGGCTCAAGCAGCTAAGGTGCCAGCCACATACACTTAAGGTGGCAGGTTTGAATCCCCAGCCCGGGCCCGCCAAACAACAATGATGGCTGCAACCAAAAAATGGCCAGGCATTGTGGTGGGAGCCTGTAGTCCCAGCTACTTGGGAGGCTGAGGCAGGAGACTTGCTTGAGCCCAGGAGTTGGAGGTTGCTGTGAGCTGTGATGCCAC